TTGGGGAGTCTGTGATCTCGTGTTATTACGGTTCCATAACAGGAGTGGTTTCTCCATGTATTGTCAATAATGAGTCCTTGAAGTGAGCATCTATAATTTAGGTTCATCAGAGTTATGTTTTTAGGGGACACAGCATCCCAAAGCCATTTCTAGATGTCAGTTTCAGTAGTCTCTGCAAGTGCTGAAAGCTTCGGTGGACTCTTTCTAAAGTTTGACCCATCCAAACTGACACAGATCATAGTGCCTTTCGACTATGCAGTAACATCTCATTTAATTATATGCAGACTATTGACTTGGAAAAAGAAGCTAATTTAAATTTCGATTTCATGAATATTTTAATTGTGACCTTACATTTTTCTGGGGGAAGACCTCACACAATATTTTCCAAAGCCCAGTTTAGTAAAAGGAGCCTAAGATGATCCGATGACAGTAGATTGAAAGGTACACATGTGAAGTGGGAAGGAAGTGCCCTGTAGCATAGTGGTCGAGAGCCCTGGATCTAGAGCCACGTAGTCCTCGATCCCTAAGGGCCCTCACTTTTAATGAGTGTGTCATTTGTAGTGAAATACTTTGCATCTATAGCCTTAGTTGGAAGTCACTATACCTACCTCATAGACTAATGGTAAGAATTAGCCAGAATAATATTTGTAAAATCCTTAGCACATTTCCTAACACATGAGGTCCTACAGTTTTTACTCTCGTTGCTGTTATTTCTACTACGATTGTCATTCATGGGGACCAGTCTAGAAAAGATAAACTTTTCGGGAGGATCTTACACATAAGAACAGCATGGAATTATGCACCTGCAGTTGCTAAATGTGTCTCATAAATCTACAAGCACCTGGCAAGGGAAATAATTTTTCTGTTTTTTTTTTTTTTGCTTTGATGAGCAAACTGAGACCCAGAGAGGTAAAATAATTTTTCAGAGACATACAGCTCGTAAAGAAAGGTGCCACAATTCAGCCTAGGTTTTCTGTCTCCTAATCCAACGCACTTCTCATGACCCATGCTGCCTCTTACATGGAGATAAATAAGCAAGAGTGTGCAATGGTGAATAAGTAAAGGGTGGGTGCTGCACGTTAGGCCCTGCAGGCAGCTAATGACCTTGGGGGCGGGGGGTAGGGGAAAGAAGCATCAAACTCAGGACTTACTTCCCTGGGCCTCTATTGTCCCCTGGATCTTGACCTGTGATCACTATCTTGTTAGCTTTCCTGTACCTTCGAAGAAATGGTTTTGATGTTTTTTCCTAATTAGCCTTATTAAGATAATTGCTCCAAATTATCTAATTTACCATCACCAGAAGGAGCTTTCCTCTGGAATCTTCCTTATCAATTTGACTTTCCAGTCTTAATTTTTTTATAAGTTGCTACTGAATTGTGCATTTGACTAGGATGCACTGAATATGGCTATCCAGGATCCAGTTTCATAATCAGGTAATCTACACGGTGTTCCTCTATCTAAAGCTTTGGGGTCAAACGCAGAACATAAGCTTAAAAAAAAGAGAATCAAACACTTCCTAAGGTATATATCGGTGTCTAATCACTACGTTGTACACATGAAACTAATACAATATAATAAGTCAATCGTAATTGGAAAATAAATTTTAAAAAATTAAGAAAAGAAATGATTTTTAACTTATAGATAGGTAAACCAAATTGATCACTAATATCCTATAACCTAAAAAACCACTGATTAAAAATAAATTAGTGAATGCATGCATACATCAAAAGAAAAGAGGATCAGAGGGTCAAAGTAGGTTGTTTTAAAGCAGCCTGTGTTTTCTGCTCGTAGTGCAGCTAAACTCTGTCTAGAGGTTTTAGGTTTTAAAATCGCTTATCTGTAAGGTACTTCTCATATTTGAGATTCTAGATTTCCACATAGTTTTGTTTCACATTTCATCATTTAAGTATGCTACATGTCTGATCAGTCAATTATCACACTGCATTTTTATTTAATGAAACTCTCATTTCAAAGGCTCTTCGTTTGTCTCATAAACATTCCTTTTTCATTATTATATTTGAGTTTATATAGCAATTTAGACCCTCCAAATAATAACTCCGTATTCTAAGAGCAATCTTTCTGAAGTATTGGCATCATACCTCATTATAGTAAAAAAATATTCATGCCAAATACCTAAACATGACATGGTTTTTTACTAGATCTGCAAGTTGGCAATAGGAAAGGCAATTCTGTAGAACCTCTATATTAACTAAATGCCGTATCTACTTAAATGATCTAATATGCTACTGTAACCTGCTTATGAAAACAGTAGCTTGCTTCGCGAATAGTCTATAAAATGATAGGAACTGCTTTCCTGCTGTGGTGACCACAGAGTACACAAATGCCAAACATGCACAAAGGATCTTTGCTGATATACCACAGGTCTTCATCAATGGCTGTGAAAGCACCTTGCAAACGTGTCCTCTCCAGTGACACATGGATTACTATTTTGTCTTCATTTATTTCTTCCAGTTATTACTGAAATACAGATTCAAGTTTAGATATTTGTCAAGTTTAGATTTTGTTAGTTGTATAGAGAGATACCTTTGTAGTAATTATTGGTTACCATTCTTTAATGATTTGGGGTGGGAAGCTATTTTTATAGTCTTTGACATCTCTTAAAAGGCTTTTCAAAATCAATCTAAAATAATTGATTTGTTTCCTAATCTGCCTAGTGGCATCTGTAATAGGTCAATAGAGTAAAAAAATTCCAATTTTGGCAACCAGTGGGAAGTTCTCTAGTGGATATATAGAGAGGCTGCACTTTGGTCTAAAGAACCAGCTGCATAAGTCTAGAAGGAAGACGTGTGGCGAGTGTGGAAAAGTCCTCTGTTCCCTCACTGTGAATTAAGAGAGTGTAGTGCAGTTGCCAAGAGAGCAGAGGTGAGCAGAGGCCAGGCTGGCTGGGGGACTTCTCCGTCAACGGGAGGAACTGCCGGGTCCTGCCCTGCCGTGCCAGGCCCAGCCTGGCATCTCGGTGTCAGTTTGGGATTCTGTAGTTAGCCGTATAAATTTTTAAGTGTTTAAAATTGGAGCTCATCCAAAGACAGGAGGTCGGGATAGAGAGAAAACTCGAAACCATGTTTATATATGGAAGAGCCAGAGATGTTTATTCTGGAGGAGAGGGTACAGGATTGCTGTCTTCACAGATAGAAGGGGCTGTCATGTGGAAGAGAGGCTAGATTTATTCTGCATGACTCCAGAGGGTAGAACAAGGGCCAGTGGGGCAGATCTTGGCTCAGTATAAGAATAGCTGTCTGTTGGTTACACACATCCCTGAAAGAAATTAACTGCCTCCAAAAGTAGTAATTTTGGATCTTTGACAGCCGTGCCTAGGCAGATGGCTGCTATTCTATAAAGGATCCTGGTAGAATCCCACAAGTCTGGACTAACGATCTCCAAAGTGCCCCCAGCTCTAAGCCCAGTTCTATATCTCACCGTCTCTCTGTCCAGGGAACACATGTCTTGACCAGGTGCAGTAACTCCAGGCACCGTAACTGGGAAATCAGACACGCTGCTGGTGAGCACAGCACAGGGTGAGCAGTGCTGTGATCAGCTGGGTGTGCGAGGTCTCAGAGCCCCCGAGAGGGCCCCTGAATGCTATTCTTGGATGGCAGAGCCTGCGCTGAGCTGTAAGTGGGAGTTGGCCAGGCACAGGGTGGAGACAGGGCGTTGCAGTGGGGGCGTCGAGCACGCACAGCAGCCTGGGTGAGGGGCCGGTAGACAGGAAGATGCCAGAATGGAGCAGGGGCTGGCACGGGAAGGACTTTAAATGCTCACCTGAACATCTGGACTTAAGAGTCGAAGTTTAGGAGATACCCGGTCCAATTTGCGTGTTGGGAAGGTGGCTGGACTGACAAGGTTGAGAGTGGAGTGTTGCTAACAGTGAGGTCTCTAAGGGCTCCTTTCTGACTATCAGGTTGCTCGCCGTTTATGTAAGGGGCTTGGGCTTTCTGCCTTATTCTATGAGAAGAAATCATTCACCATCTTTGTTACTGATGGTCAGGGCCATGGTGCTCTAGGTCTTACCACTCTGGGTACAAACAAAGTCATGTTGGCAATAACACCCCGGTGCACGCACGCTTCCCTGTTGTGCCGATTCGGACCTCGAGACCCCCATAAAATCTTACTGTTTTCTCTGGGAACCCCTGGGGAAGCCCGGTGGGAGGTTGTGAGCAGACCTGATCCTCGTTCTGCTGTTACCTGGGGGTGGTGTCTCCTTGTGCCCGTCCGGCCGGGGCCGGGACCCTCCCTGACAATGCTGGGGCCCCTGCCCAGCATCGTATCCCTAGGACTACAGCCGCACGTGCTCAGCCGTCAGGCACTTCTCGAGGTCTTCGCTGCAGCACAGCCACGCTGTTCCCAGCAAAAGGGGGGGTAAATGGCCCACTTCCTTTCTTTGTGTCACTTTTTGTCACTTGGGCATGAAGTGGGATTAGGTAGGCTGGTGTCTCACGAAATCCCTCTTGAAATAGGTTTCTGCAACCCCAAGGCTGTGGGATCCATTGCCAAGAGACACCAGGGTTTTCCCTCCATTCCAGCTTCCTTCCAGATAGCCACGGGTCCCCCTGTTCTGACCAGCTCCCCTTCAGCAGAAACATAAGGCAAAATGAACTATAGGCCTAGCAGCTTCTCCGTCCTGATCATCAAACATACCTGTGCCCGTCGTGATGATGACTGCTCGCTCCTGGCCCAGGGCTAACACTTCTATGTACGATACCGTTTAATCACCCAGCCCTTGGAGGTGCAGAGTTAGTATTCTCGTTTGTAGATGAGGATGAGGCTAAGAAGAATTAAGTAACTTGTTCAAGGTCAAACAGCTGGCAGAACTGGAATTCAAAACCAGACTGGTCTGGAATGTTCCAGACACTAAGTCCTTAACAAATCCCTAACACTTGGACATATAAACACTCATAATCTTATAATTTAGATAACAGTAAAGTGCCTCCTTTGTTCATTTATCATCTTCGCATATATTCAAAATCGGCTTTTGCATCCAGGGCTGGGAAGAAACGGTGGATGCTGCTGTCTCCCACCTCTTGAAGACCTGCCTGTCGAAGAGTTCAAAGGAGCAGGCTTTGACCCTCGGCAGCCAACTGGACGTCCCCAAAGACACAAGCCGCCTGAAGAAGCACATCACCTTGCTGTGCGATAGGTTAGCCAAAGGCGGACGCCTCTGCCTGAGCACCGATGCCGCGGCCCCGCCGACCATGGTCATGCCAGGTGAGAGCTCGGCGAGGCTTCCTCAGCACA